ACCATTTCACCTTGTACCCCAGTATATATCGAGCACTGAGTCTAATTTTGGTGCAGAGGAAGAACTGTGTTACTTTCTGCCAGCTCATCTTGCAGGCCAAATACTTCCACAGGTTTCCCCAGACCTAGGGAAGTGAGAGTGTTTGTGGAACAGCTGGAAGGCTAAAGTCTGCCTTTTGCAGTAAATACTGCAATATTTAATATTAAATATTATTATTTAATATTATTACCAAATATTATTACTTCTGGAGCCAGGTATTAGCTTGTTTTTTTTAAAGCTGTCCCAGGTTTAGTTTTGCAAAGGATCTGGTCTGTTCTACTGTTTCTTTGTTGGATCTGTCCTGGTGCATTAGTGGTAGGAAGTGAAACATGAGTTTGGAATAGGCTCCAAATTAAAATATCACATAAAGATCAGCTTACTCTGACTGTGACGCTGAAGAAGGCCCACTCTCTTCCCTACTAAAAGTCTGGCATCTATTTTAATGCTGTTTACTATGCAAAATCAGAAACCTCTTTTTCACTGTCTTCTCTCTTTGGTAGAATATTTCCAAATTACAGAAGTGAGCAAAACACCTTTTTAGGTTTAAGATATTGCTTGACTTGTAATTGTAGTTTTGCTTTAAAAAATCTTTTTAAAAGCCAGCTGGCCTCACTGCTGTGTTTGAAAAGAAAAGAAACATTTTTCTTATAGATTCTCACTGAGATTTGAAGGAAAAGGCAGGAAAGTCAGCATTAATTGAATTCTCTAAGTCCAAATATGCCGAAAAGGCAGGAAAGTCAGCATTAATTGAATTCTCTAAGTCCAAATATGCCTTCAGTGTCTCCTGTGTAATCCTCCAGATTGCAACACACTCACTCATAAAGCCCCTTGTCACTCAAATAACTCTGAGACTTTTGCACAGCTCAGTTGAGAAAAAACAGGACTGTGCAAGTACTCTTGAGAACGTGTGCATTTGCAGGGACAGCAGCTTAGAAATGAGTACTGAAAAGAAATAATTTGTTTCATTGAATGAAAGATTTAAATTGAGCTTTCATGCTCATTTGAGCTTCTGGGGATGACTAGCTGGGACAGTGGTGACTTTTGAAATTCTAGCTGCTTCTGAAAAAATGTCTTCAGTTATCATTCTTAAATAAGAATATATGATAATTTGTGAACTGTTCCAGAGATGTTGTTGATCACACGTTGCAACTGAAAATTTAGTTTTTGTGGAAGATACATTTCATTCCCAGGTCACAGAATGATTTTGCTAGGTAAGCAGTTGCAGAATTTGATTGAAAAAAAAATTAAAATTAACTGGTGAAATCTGATAGTGCCATTGGTTATCTCTAAATGCAATATTACAAAAAAAGAATGAGTGAGGACTGTCCTCTGCCCTTAAAGCCAGGTTGGCTTAATATCTGGGCATCTCAATTCTCCTTCCCTCTCCAAAGCCTGGCAGTGGTCACTGAGCTGCTCACAATTTTGACGAGTTGTTTTCTGCATGGTGCCCAAGCATTGTCTGGAAAAATATTAACTGACCTAAGCCAAAACTGTGCTAGTTTTTTTGAATTGTCAATCAGCACTGCAGATCACAGGCCAGTGTTCTGTACTATGACCTGACTCTTTTTTGCTCCCTAGCATGGACAAGGCCCTGAGTATCACAAAATCAGAGCTCAGGCAGCTTGAATTGCTCCAAAGCAGAAACCCAATCTGAAAAAATCCACATGCCTAAAACCACTCTCTCCTCAAAAAAATGCCTTTCAGTGCAGACAGTGTTGCAATTTTTGGGACTAACCCACAAGTATTTGCTTCATAATTCTGTTTATGAACTTATGAAACCCAGCACCGTGGCCTTTGTGCTCCTGTACTTTTAATCATACAGGATTTTGGAGCAATGGACTCCTGCCTGCTTTAGTCTGGTGTTACACACTTTTCTCTTCCTGGCTTCCACAGAAGCCATGCTGGAAATCATGGAAATACAATATATTGCAATGGCACTGCCTGACAAGAAATGGAGCCATGGTATAAAATTAATGGCTGCTCAGGAGCTGGAAGGAATGTTTGTTTTGACCAAGAAAATCTGAAATCATTTCCTTAGGTGAAATCAGCTCTTCCAAGTTTCCACACCAGCCTGCTATCACAGGGTAGAAGGATCAAAAGACATCACCTGCCTTGGGTTACGTAAGGGTGAAGGATGCCACATGGCTGTGTCAGGTTCCAGCCAGGAGTAAAAATAAACTAAACTGGGATGTGCTCCTCAGCAGGGCCAATCCAGGAAGGAAGGTGGGGTTTGTGTGACTGAAATTAAGTTTTCCTGACTTTATTTTCCTGGCTGTTTTAAAATACTTCTACAGTACAGCACACAGATCTCAATTTATTAAAGAACTGTCCCAGTATTTGGCATGTGCAGTCTCATTGTGGTCGTGGGGCTGAACAACCAAATGAACAGCTGACAGTGACAATTCACTGATTTTTCTGTAAAGCAACACACTGGGAAAAATGTAACCACCAGGAATAAGGAGAGCCAAGGTACACTGTTTTTCCTGACCTTGCCTCTTCTCTCTCCCCTCAGCGTGAGTGCATCTCTGTTCACGTTGGCCAGGCTGGAGTGCAGATAGGAAATGCGTGCTGGGAACTCTTCTGCCTGGAGCATGGCATTCAGCCCGATGGCACCTTCAAGGACCTGCAAAACAAACTCAGCTCTGATGACTCTTTCACCACGTTTTTCAATGAAACAGGCACTGGGAAGCATGTGCCACGGGCTGTGATGGTGGACTTGGAACCAACTGTGGTAGGTCAGTAGAGAAATAAACCTGCAGAATGGAGATGAGATTGCTTTCCCTCGTATCACCAAGGTGTGCAAACAGTCTTCACTGGCACAAAGCAGCCCTTTGTACCTCAAACTGCCACTAGATAGCATAAAATTAATTTTCTTGTGACACAGGATGCCAGATTTTGTCACAGGTGTTACAAACACAGGAACAGGAGAATCCCCAGCAGTTTAACAGCCGGTACACGGGGTGTGTACAATCTTTTCTTTGCATCAATATTCAACTTTTGGATTTGTTTATCAGGACATTTTTGCCATTCAAATTCCACTTTTCTTCAGATTGGATTCAAAGTGGGAGCCTGATCGCTTCCCTCCAATTTTAGAGGGATGTCAGAAAATTGGGACACCTGAATTTCTTCACACTTTTTTTTTATTTTTAATGGGGACCCGTGGGTGCAGGCTGTACTTGTCACCAACGAGCTCATGAGAGGACAAGTGGCTGGATTGAAGATGCACCATAAATCAGTCATAAGCAACAATGAAAAAATGCTCTGGAGACATTTCCCTTCTCCATCAGCATCTGTCTTTTGGCATCACATGAACTCCTGTGGCTCAGAGCGTGCGCTGATGCCAACAACAACCAGAATTTGTTGGCACTGGAGCATATTCTTACAATTTCCTCTTTCTTCTTCAGATGAAGTACGGGCTGGCACCTTCCGGGAGCTTTTTCATCCAGAGCAGCTGATCACTGGAAAGGAAGATGCAGCCAATAACTATGCCCGTGGCCACTACACCATTGGCAAGGAAAGCATCGATACGGTGCTGGATCGCGTCCGAAAACTGGTAAATCCCAGCGGTTTTGAAGCAGCAGCTTGGACTCTGCAGAGGAAAGAAGGGCAGAACTAACAGCTTGTTAATTTTAGATAGTATCAGTGGGTCAGAAAAGAGATTGCAAGTCATACAGATGATATCCTGCACGTGGTGCAGAAGAGAGAACAGTAGTTCACTTCCCAGCTGCATGCCTCCAGCCATCTTTATGAAGTGGCTCTGAATATGTAATTTTTAATTATTAGCACAGCCCTACAGCACCAGTGCTGATACTGAAGGGTGGATTATGCAGTTGTAGATTGCTGGTTTCAGCTAGAATAACAGAGCAGAAGTTCAGAGAGAGAGGCTATCACACTGTATTAGGAATGGCAAGGAGTATGACATGACTCGCTCAGCTGCATTGTCCAAGAGAGCAAAGTTTATTATTCTTAATCTTTTATACACATGTTTGAGAAGGTCTGAGAGGTAAAACTGTCATTGGTCATTAAAGCAACACATCACCAGCATTGGTTAAGTGGAACACCACCCCCTTGACTAAACAACACCTGCAGATTGCTGTCCTTTACCAAGGATTGTTTGGATGCTTTCTCAGGCCACACTGAGAAGCCTATGTAACTTATTTTCACACAGGATTTGTTCTCCCTGCCTGCTTTCAGCATCCATAACAGGCCTGGACAGATCCCTATGTCATAAGCTCAGACAGTGAGGAAAGCAAAGGCTGGAATTATCACCAGCATTTTCCCAGGAAACCTTGATGTGAAACCCATGCTGTATTCTGCCTATGACTGCTCACTCCTTCAGCTCAGGATAAGCTCACGTAGCAAAATCTTTCCCACCTTTTCCACCTGCTGCTGTTTCACTTTCTCGTTTGCTTTCCAGGCTGATGCCTGTTCTGGGCTGCAAGGATTCCTGATCTTTCACAGCTTTGGTGGCGGCACCGGCTCTGGATTTACCTCCTTGCTGATGGAACGCCTCTCTGTGGATTATGGAAAGAAGTCCAAACTGGAGTTTGCCATCTACCCAGCCCCTCAGGTCTCCACCGCTGTGGTGGAGCCCTACAACTCCATCCTGACCACGCACACCACACTGGAGCACTCGGACTGTGCCTTCATGGTGGACAACGAGGCCATCTATGACATCTGCCGCCGCAACCTGGACATCGAGCGGCCCACCTACACCAACCTGAACCGCCTCATCAGCCAGATCGTGTCCTCCATCACCGCCTCGCTGCGCTTCGACGGAGCCCTGAATGTCGACCTGACCGAGTTCCAGACCAACCTGGTGCCCTATCCCCGCATCCACTTCCCCTTGGTGACCTACGCCCCCATCATCTCCTCCGACAGAGCGCACCACGAGCAGCTCTCGGTGGCCGAGATCACCAACGCCTGCTTCGAGCCCAACAACCAGATGGTGAAGTGTGACCCGAGGCACGGCAAGTACATGGCGTGCTGCGTGCTCTACCGCGGCGACGTGGTGCCCAAGGACGTCAACGTCGCCATCGCTGCCATCAAGACCAAGAGATCCATCCAGTTTGTCGACTGGTGTCCAACAGGCTTCAAGGTGAGTAGGGCTGCCACGAGCTTCTCTTTGGTGTCTAAAATGCAGGTTCAGCCTAGTAGAAAACTTGTATTTGAGTCTTTCTGTTTCTTCTGTTTCCACCTGAACATGGGGGAATAGAGATATTTCCCAATGAATGTAAGAAGGATGCATTTTGGTTCGGCCTTGTAGAAAACTCATATTTAAGGGTTTCTATCTTGTCTATTTCTCCCATTTCCCCCAAAAATGGGGGAATATAGATATTTCCCAATGATCATAAGAAGGATGCATTTTTATAGAATGTGCCTTTCCTCCCTCGGACATCCCATTGACACAGGCTCATAGATTTTGAAATAAGTGGAAATTCAAAGTGTGTACAGGTTAAAATTGAAAGAAGTTTTAATTTCAGACCCGACCTTTGGAACAAATCAATGAGCGTTGCTTCTGAGGCACAATCTAAAACTGAGGAAATACCAAAACTGATAAAATTAATAAAGGAGATGCTGATATTAGGGAATCTCTTAGTTAACCTAGAAATATTATACAGCTTCTCCACACTGGCTACACAGCAGTGTTGGGAAACATATTTTCAACGATACAGAAATTAACAGTGGAAAAACATTTGTCATCCAAACAGCTCCTGCAGCAATGTCAACTTTCCACTGGGAACCAACATTTTGTGTTACTTTCTACAGAGTGTCATGGCAAAACTGTGTTCAGTATTGAGTAGCTCTTAAAAAAGCCACAAACTCATCAGTGTACATGGAACAGCAGAATAGTACAGGTATTAAAGTGGGTGTGCATCATGGTATTTGACATTTGGAATGGCACCACTCTACCCCAGCACCTGTAACTTCACTCGTATTTCTTCAGCTCTCTGACTGCCTCCTGCTGTTCTACAGCCTTCTCTCACATTCCCCTTTCCAGGTTGGCATCAACTACCAGCCTCCTACAGTGGTTCCTGGTGGAGACCTGGCCCAAGTGCAGCGGGCAGTCTGCATGCTGAGCAACACCACAGCCATCGCCGAGGCTTGGGCAAGGCTGGACCACAAGTTTGACCTGATGTACGCCAAGAGAGCTTTTGTGCACTGGTACGTGGGTGAGGGCATGGAGGAGGGAGAGTTTGCAGAGGCCCGAGAGGACCTGGCTGCCCTGGAAAAGGACTATGAAGAAGTGGGAACTGACTCATTTGAAGAAGAGAATGATGTGGAGTAATTTTAAAATACATTTTGATCCTGGTGAGCACGGAATTGTCTCTGTATCACTGTGCTGCATGTGTCAACAATTAGGTTTTCAGTACGTTGCAAACATAAATTTAGGAGAATTCATATAGTGACATTTTTTGTTCCATAAATGACAGGCAAATTATCCTGTAAGATATCATCAGCTGTATTAATGCCACTCCCAGTAATGTAAAAAGACTTGTTCTCCCTTGCACACTTAATGTGAGCCTCTTTAAGCACTAATGTACATGGTAAACTCATTACATTCCAAGTATGTCATCCCAAAAAGCTGCAGAACCCTGCATAAGAGCAACAGAGCCAACAGGAACACCACAGACACCTCCTAAACCGGGATTCTCTGGAATCCCCTCTCTGGGGTATTTGAAAAGTCCTGGCAATCAGGTGAAGTCCCAGAGGAGTGGAAAAAAGGAAACATTGTCCCCATTGTTAAAAAGGGTGGAAAGGAGGGCCCTGGTGACTGCCAACCTGTTGGCCTCACCTCTGTGCCTGGGAAATTGGTGGAAGAAGTCCTCCCAGAAGATGTGCTAAGGCATATGGAGGGCAGATTTAATTGGATAAATTAAAGATAAATTTATTTTATCACAGATAAAATTTATGCATGAAGTACCTAGGTGCTCATGCATAAATTATTTGGGAATTTATTAACACCTCTGTGCAACAAATGAGATGTAGTCTTGCTTTTTGATTAAGTTCTCCTACATCCATTTGTGATCCTCCTTGCTCATTTCAGAATCTAGATTTTTTTTATGATGCTAATACAGAATTGCCTTCAAGAAGGACCTGCCTATAAAAAGTAAGACAATTCTTAGAAATACCCAAGTTGCCTTTTTTCAGGACTGTGAACTTTCAGACCTGAAAAATCTCATTTCTGGGACTGATTCTGCCAGATTTTCTCACAAAAATTAAGGCAACACCTCACCTTTGTTGCACAGTCGTGTTCATAAGTTCCCAATTAATTAATGCATGATTGCTAATTACCTCACATTTCCCACCCTTTCCCCCTTATATTTCTTACTCTTTTCCCACCTCATGTTTCCTGCCCTTTTTTCTCTCCTTTTTCTCCTCACACTTCCTGCCATTTTTTCTCTCTATTTTAATGCCCTTTCCTCCCTCTGTTTAAATACTTCAAATGTTGGGAAAATGGGGTTTTCTCCCCTCAATTAAACCTTAAATAATGGAAAAGAAGTTTTCCTTTAACTGATACCCTTAAAATCACAGGTGAAGTGGGATCCCCTCCAACTTAAACACAGACAATACTGGAAAATGTCATTTCTCCTCAGTTTAAGCCACTTTTCCCTCAAACTCCTTTTTTCTGGGGTCACTGGGGCACACTAGAGACGGACTGGGGGCACTGGGCAGGGGACTAGAGGCCCTGGGATGGGACTGGGAAGATGAAATAGAAAAGAGAAAGGAAAAGGATCTCTCCACACCCACAGACACTGCCCCACCTGCTCAGGGGTGCCACCCTCCCTCCTCATCCTCATCTTCACTGACCCCACCTGGGGCTGCTCCTCTCCCTCCTCATCCTCACTGACCCCACCTGGGGCTGCTTCACTCCCTCCTCATCCTCACTGACCCCACCTGGGGCTGCTTCACTCCCTCCTCATCCTCACTGACCCCACCTGGGGCTGTCCTGCCCCTCCTCATCCTCACTGACCCCACCTGGGGCTGTCCTGCCCCTCCTCATCCTCACTGACCCCCCTGGGCTGTGATTTCCCCCTGTCCCGAAGGCTGTTCCGCTCTCATCCTGGCCATCAGCCCCATGATTTATTTTATTTGGGAGGGCACTCAGCACTCAGCTGCTCTCTCTCAGCAGCCAAGGCACTTTCTGGAGCTCTCTGGACATCAGAAAAGCCGTGGCAATTATCAGGAGCCGGCAGATTTTGTCCGAGGGACGCTCCACGCGATGCTCAGCAGCACTTGGGTTAGGGCACCCAAACACTGCACATTTCAGCCTGAGCCATCCCTTCAGCTGAGCCCATGCTCTGGGCTCACACTTCTGCCTGACACCTGCTCCAGATGTGGCTGAGCTCTGCAGGCAAAGCTGAAAATGTTCTTAAGAGCTAAACTCTAAAGAGTTTTAACTCCTCCTAACTGAGCACCCAGGCTCTCACAGGAGTAATTTCAAAAATCTGTTTCAGCTTTTTCACCAACTTCCTCCAGCGTCCTTTTGCACTTTGCTCAGGTGGTTTCATTCTCTGTAGGCAATTTATGGCTCAGAGGTTCTACTCTTTCTCTTCCTCCCTTCCATCGGGCAGTCGCCACACAGGCCATTAATCGAAGTGAACATCACTAAATTTAAATTATTTAAATTATTATATTAAATTATTATTGCTGAGAGCCTCTGTTACGGCTGAAACGCTGAATTCCAAGCGCTTCTGCTTGGGAGTCCCTACAGTTATCCACATCCCCCAGTGAGGGTTCAGGACAGGTTTTGCTGTCCCTGCTGCCTCCACTGAGTACCTCCGACAGAGCAGGGAGTGTGAGCAGCATCCCCGTTACCTGCCCAGAGGGTTTGCAACCGGGATTTCACCACAAGGACAGCTCTGATGGGCTCCGTGGAACCCCTGTGAGAGCTCCCCGTGTGCTGCCTCCTTCCCAGGGCTCAGCGAGCCGGGCTGGGGCTGCACAGGCCTGGGAGCTCCTGCGGTCCTCACCCGTGCTTCATCCTGCTTCCCCCACACGGCACAAGCGGAGCCGTCTGTATGAAGGGACAAAAGAACCGCCTGTGACAATCCCTCGGCGCTTTTCTCCGGTGCCGGGAGGCGGCGCAGGGCGGCTCCGAGTTTCACTTTCTGTGTCTGCTGCAGGCCGAGCGGGAAATGAAAACTGCGGGGCGGGCGCTGCCTCAGCCGGGCGCTGCCTCTGCCTGAGGCGGCGGGGCCGCCTCGCTCCGCCCGC